ACAGTGAGTGAGTTTATGCATGCATACGATCAGCATATGGCTATCCTAGATAAAACCAGGGCCGGTGCAAGGATTTTTGCCGCCCTAGGCAAAAAAATAATTTGCCGCCCCCCCCCATATGTCCTGCCCACCATGTGACATCACAATGCCCCACCCATATGCTCTGCCATATGGGCCAACGTCAGTCTTCACAAAGTGTCTTTTATCTGAAAAGACAGTGTGTTTACATTAAAAAGCCTACAGGCACAGGCTATAGACACCAGAACCACTACATTAAGCTGTAGTGCTTCTAGTGACTATAGTATCCATTTAATGTGAGGTAAATTAGAGATTAGTGACACTAATAATATATTGGATTGCCTACTTACCACCAGATGAGGACAAGAGGCTGATGATGGGCTCTGTCTGGCTCCACAGGTCTGGTGTAGAAGAGGCTCTCAGGAGACTGTTTTTAACAGTGCTCACAACAATTAACGAGCAGGAAGCAGCTCCATGTTTTAGGGCCCCTTACACAGCTCAAGGTCTGGGCCCCCGGGTCTTGACCGTGAGTATGCCTACAATGCCCACCCATAAATCCAGCTATATTGCCCACCCATGAGTTCTCTCACAGGAAGTGGAGTGTATGTGTGTAGGGGATGTTTTATGTGTTATTGTAGAGGATACAATGTGTGTGTGTTCTTATAGAATGTAGTGTATAGGGATACCAATTTCTGTAAGGGATGTAGTGTGTTTATATGGGATGCAGTGTGTGTTTGCGTGTAAGGAATGCATTGTATGTTTCTGGGTGTGTGTGTGTAAGGGGTGCAAGGTGTGTTTCTGTGTATTTAATTGAATGCAGTGTGTGTCTGTAAGGGGTGCATTGATTGTGTAAGAGATGCATTTTGTTTCTGTGTGTAAGAGAATGAGTGTTTGTGTGAATGTAAGGGATGCATTGTGTGTCTCGGTGTGTCTGAGTAGGAATGCATTGTATATTTCTGTGTGTGTGTGTGTGGGGGGGAGGATGCATTGTGTATGTGTGTAGTGTAAAAGAGAGGGTTTGTGGGTTAGGATAGAGACTGAGAGGGGAGCTGCTCTTTATTTTTTTTTTATTTTTTTCATAGTGCTCTCCCCCCTGTCAATTATTGATTTCCCCTTCTCTCCTGTCCCTCCGTGTTCTCCCCTTCTGTCCCTTAGTGCTCTCCCTTGGCCCCCTGTAGTCCCCCATTGGTGGTCTTCTCACTCCCCCCTTCCCCCTTAGTGGCCCTCCCTCTCCCAAACCCCTTAGTAGACATTCCCCTCCTCCCCCCACCCCCTTAGTGGTAATCCCCCCCCCAGTGGTCATTATCCTCTTTCCCCTCACCCCCCCTTAGTAGTCCTTTCCCCCCTTAGTGGTCCTCCCTCTCCCAAACCCCTTAGTGGACCCCCCCTCCTCCCTCAGTGGTCCTTACTCCCCACCCCCCGTCCCCCTGTGTTCCTTCACCCCCCCTTCCCCAGTGGTTCTTACTCCCCCTCTCCTCCCCCAGTGGTTCTTACTCCCCCCATTCTTCCCCCAGTGGTCCTTACTCCCCCCCTCCTCCCCTAGTGGTCCTTACTACCCCCATCCCTCTCCTCCCCCAGTGGTCCTTACTACCCCCATCCCTCTCCTCCCCCAGTGGTCCTTACTCGCCCCATCTCTCTCCTCCACCTGTGGCCCTTACTCCCCCCCTCTACCTTCAGTGGTCCTTACTCACCCCCTCCTGCTCCTCCCCTGGTGGTCCTTGCCCCTCCTCCCCCTTGTGTTCCTTACTCCCCTCTGGTCCTTACTAACCCTCCCCTCCCCTGGTGTTCCTTACTCTCCCTCCCCTGGTCCTTACTCACCCTCCCCCCCTGGTGCTCCTGCCCTCCTCCCCTCCCCTGTGTTCCTTACTCCCCCCTCCCCTACCTCCCCTGGTGGCTGACTCACCCCTCCCTTGGTGGTCCTTACTCACCCCCCTCCCCTGGTGGTCCTTACCCTCCTCCCTCCCCCTGTACTCCTTACCTCCAATGTGAGCACTTCCTGTCAGTCCGCCAGCGGCCGGGTTCAGGAAACAGAGGTTCCTGTCCCGCGTTCCGTGCCGACCAGCCACGCTACATTGAGAGACCGGCAGGAGGGAGCGCTCTGCGCTTCCCTCCTGCCGGTCACTCAAATCCGGCCACCCTCGACAGCAGTGCTGCGCCGCCTAAGGATTGCTAAAGCGCTCAGGCGGAGCAGCATGAGGAGCCGCCGGGCACAGGGATCCGGCGCCCCCTGTCAAGACCAGGGACTAATGAAAGTATTTAGAAAATTGGGCAGACTAGATTGGCCGAATGGTTCTTATCTGCCATCACATTCTATGTTTCTTTGTTTCTTCATTCTGTAGAACCTCTAAATACCTTTGCAGAAGTCTGGCCCTTCCTGGAGTCTGCCACATTTATAAATGTTTTGTAATCTGCCTGTAATGTGTTGGAGAATACAGTCAGCTTGTTGCTCTTAATTAACAAGGCTTCATCAGATTGTATGGATGCCTGGTACCATGGAAAATCTTGGCACTTTTCAATCACAGTGCTAAATATACTGCATCTAACCTCTCATCAGTCTTTAATTAACACTGACAATAGTGAGAGCTGAATTAACATGGAAATCGGATTCAGTGATAACCGTTTTAAGACTGAGCTAGTGGTTAGCCCTAGTTCTTAATGTCCACGTATGGTGGATTTATATATTTGTATGGACTATGTTTAGATTTGGTTTGCAGAACAGATTTTCCAAAGCACCATTTTTGAGCTGAATCACTTTAATTCATAATGACAGAATGTTTCATACTTTAGTTTTCTCTAAATACTGCTGTTTTAACCCTTTTTATATCAGGTTAAAACTACTCACATCCCACAGTACAATGTACTGTATGATAACATTTACAACTGTGTACATTGCCAGGATGTGGAAATCCTATGATCCACACAAATTAAAAAATAATATTTTCTTTACATTTCAGTGGTAGGATGGATGTGTAATAAATTCTGAGGTATGTATTGCACAACATGGTGGCACAAATGCGATTAAGAATGTAACCTGACTGAAATTGCATAACGGTAAAATGGAAATTTGCAATGAAGATTTTGCCACCCAGGGCTGCTGTTTGTGCAAGGCACAAAGACTTACAGTTGTATATTTACACACAGTACAGCAAAATATTTTAAATAAATATTGGTCATGTACATGCATATATATTTATATTATTATTATTATTGTTGCTACAAATATTTCATAGCTGTAGGAAATATTGGTTAATATGAGAGCGGCACTGTAACCATTTCATCGTATTGAATTGATAATAGTTCCTGGATTTCCCATTCAGTGGTAAACCATTTCCAAGTGATTTAACACTAAATAAAGGACCTGGGCTTTCTACACCCAAACCTCTGCTGGAGGTATGGCTAAAGCAGAGATTACGCACTTCCTTAGCCATACCAATTTATACCAGCAATGAGCAGCTGTAATAGACTGGGTGCATCCAGCTGACACTCTCCACCATAAGCTAAAGCAGGGCTGTCCAACCTGCGGCCCCCCAGATGTTGCTGAACTACAACTCCCATGATTCTCTGGTTATCTGTTTCATTGAGAGAATCATGGGAGGGCCGCAGGTTGGACAGGCCTGAGCTAAAGCTTCCTCATTATCCGTAGCAAACCAGATTGGCTGGGCTGCCAGCGACTCTCTTTATTCAATAAACTATTTAAAACGCACAAAACCGAGAGATTGTATCCGTGAGCTCCAGGCACTATTATGACTTAAGCAAACAATAAAGAATATGAAAATGGAAAAAAGCTCAGAGAACCTTGATAGCTTGCCCTTCCTTAAAAATTGTTTTTTCTGACCTGCTCCACTACAGAGAGAACCTATACCTATACCATTTGCATATCAGACTGATCCCGCAATCCAGAACCAAAATGCCAGCAAGTTCCCTCTGCATGACATGATTGTCCAAGGTTGCTGTATCTCTCATACAGAGCGAGGATTTACCCAAGGCAACTCTCTAAGCTTTCGTCCGTTTTTATATTCTCTGGTTTTGCTTCAATGTATTTGTTTAGGGTCATCCAGGTATAATCCAGATGTGGACTCATGCTCACTGTGCCTAGGGGGATATCAGCTACCCCTTGTTGATGATACAGAGAAGGCAAAAACAACTGTTCAGGGTTGCGGTATCTCTCGTGAAGATCTAATTTCCCTGTTTTTATTTGTCTCAAAGTTCTAGTATTCTTTGGTTTTGCTTCACTATAACAACTTAATTGAGATGAACTGGTTAGATTGCCTAGCGTGTTCCTGTAATGCTTTGGAGTTACAATTCAAAACATGGACTTCCTTCTCCATTCTGACCAGCATATTTGGGGTTAGTTTAGAGTGGTATGGAAAATCGTGAATATTGAGAGCATAAAAGCAGAGAAGAGAATAGATAATAGCTATACATGTGGTGTGGGGATGGAATTCGAGAAGAGGATTAGAACCAGGGAAGATAGAAAAAATATTGGCTGAAACTCAACAATATTGATTCTTATCATCATCTGGAGAAGAAAATCCCAAGATAATTTTTTTAGAAGTACAAACGTCATTACAGAAGTTTGAACAGACCTGAGCAATCAAAATAGTTTTGAAGGTTGTTTGTGAATTCTGTTTTTCTAATTTTAATCAGAATTTGAAGTATTTTCTGTCATGTTACAACCCATGTATGTGAGCATTCTTAATGAATGTATTTATTCTTTTGAAGTATCATTTAAATACATGTTGTACAGATTATCAAAAATTGTGTCCTACATTTAGAGTATTAGAACTCACAAAACTATTTTAAATGTAAGCTGAGGAACTGCACTGCAAAGTTTCTTTGTTGCTTTGTGTTTTTTTTTGTTTTGTTTCTGTTTTTTTGATTTGCATTATTTTGTTTTACAGAATGTCAATTTGAAATATTAATTAAACGAGAAGAATGTGATGTGATCATCTGTACATCTCTTTGAATAAGAAAAACAAACCATGTCTAATCGAGATGTCCCTGACCAATTGTGCCAGGAGGCTCACCAGCACATAACTACGGAAGAACCATCCTTGGCGGCAGCCTATTATATGGCCGCTTTTAGCTGCAATGCACCAGTAGCAATACAAAAAATTAAATCTCTACCCAGTCCACAGTGCCAGCAAATTACACATATTTTGGAGACATGGTGCTTAGGTGAATGCGAAATACCTAAAATACACTGTGATGGCATGGCCATTGTGTCACTAAATGCTGGAATTGCAGCTGTATTTCTCTCTACTCTAAGTCCAAATAATATAGCTGCCTCCATCTTTAAAATGAGCACATTCCTTAAAAATGGACGCTATGAGGAGGTGGTGAAAAAATGCAACTCCTTACTAAATGTCCACTCACAATACTCACTAGAACTTTTGCTGACCCGATCGCTGGCACTGATTTTATCTCAGACGGATCCACAAAGTGGTGTAAAAGATTACATCCAGGCATTCATCGAACATAAAGAAGAAACAAGACAATTTATCTGTAAGAAACAAATGGAATACCTCCCCCAGTTAATCAATGCATTTAATAACTATATTTATACTTTCGGAAGCGATAGGGACAAGGAATGTACAGGTACAATGCTTCAAGACTGTTACAGTTTTTTGGCGGCCTTGGCTCCTGATGATCTACAAATATGCAAGACCCAAGCTGCCTACTTGTTTGAGAACTGCAAGTTCGAAGAATGTATAGCTGTGTACTCTAGAGCAATTGAGGCGCTATCCTTGGAAACAAGAATAAAAGAAGAAAAGATTTCTTGTCTACTTGTTGATAGAGCAGCCGCGTATTACTCTTTAGGTTCTCGCACAAAAGAAATGGTGCAAGATTTATCGGAAGCATTTAAGGTCAGTCCTTGTCATGCTAGGAAACGGTTTACAGACATCTTCTCCACTGCAGATATTGCAAGAGTTATTGAACGTTCTAAGCTGTATATCGAGATGGAATTTGGAGATTTTAGAGAAAATGTGAGAGCTCGACCTGAGCTTAGGTCCGATACCGGTACAGAACTTCTCTTACCCATTGTACAAACACTTGAGTTTTTAATTCAGTGTTGTAAAAACAGCAGACGTGAGATGAATGTCCGTCTGGCTGACTGCAAACTCCTTGCAGGAGACTTCAAGACTTGCATGGATATCTGCAACCAATTACTTAACTCAGAAAAAAAGACTTATCAAAATACTTTGTTTGCTTTACAAGGATTTTGTCACTTTCATAATAATGAACATCAACAAGCTCTGAAAGACTTCCAAAAAATTATAGAAGATGAATCTCCACACCCATCCAGTTGTGTAAAAGCCCTGTGTGGCAGAGGACTTGTCCGTATGATCAGTGGAAACTCATACTTAACTGCCTTGGACTATATTACAGCGTGTAAACTTAAACTGGATGAGACCCTTCTTACAATTAAGACATATGTGCCATGGAACCAAAGAGGTTTGCTCTTTAAAGTGCTCCAGGAAGAAGGAGAGAAGATGCTGCACAAAAAGACACCTAATTTAAATGAAAGTGCGATATCAAATAGGAATAAACAGTCTGATCATGACTGTCCCTCAGCCAAAGAAAGGTAATTAACGAGTTATAATTTCAAAACCAAAATGCTTACATTAACATTTATTAGTGGTCAGTAGTGATGTCCCGAACTGTTCGCCGAACGGTTCGCGAACTGTTCGCCACGGTTCGCCATGAACGGTTCGTGCGGACTCCAGTCAGCTGACACATTCCAGCCAGTCAGCAGCAGACCCTCCCTCCCAGACCCTCCCACCTCCTGGACAGCTCACTATGAATGCAGCTTCAAAATGGATGCTGTCCAGGAGGTGGGAGGGTCTGGGAGGGAGGGTCTGCTTCTGATTGGCTGGAATGTGTCAGCTAACTGGAGTCCGTGGCGAACCGTTCGTGGCGAACCGTTCATGGCGAACAGTTAGCGAACCGTTCGGCGAACAGTTCGGGACATCACTAGTGGCAGAGCCAGATTAAGAGCCCAGTGGACCTGGTGCTGACAATTATGACGGGCCTAATTACAGAATCATATTGACCAAAAACAGTAAAACACTCCCAAGCGTCATGTATCTGATGGAGATGGTGCTGGAGAAAAAGAAAACAGCAGCTATAAGAAAACACATACCCTAGGCTAATCCCTCACTAATTTATGTTTTCATCTTTCAAGTAAATCCATAACCCCTAACAGCAGTGTCCAGTCAAGCAGGAAGTCAATGGGCACGGTAAAAGGGTGTGCCACTGACACAAATCACGTAACCTGCCAAAAGGGGCGAACATGCCCAAAAAGAGGATATGTCTGCCCAAAGAATTAGAAGGCCAGCCTGGTATGAATGTATGTCAGGCTGCCTGCCAATCATGCAGCTGGCCAACTAAGGGCATACTATGCAGACAGCACCCTGAGCTTGGCATAAATGCATCTAATGATGCGCTCGCTCAACGCTTTCTAAGGACTGTCCCCTAGCACTCGCTGGTCCACTTGTCTCCTTACCTTCTTACTAGCAGGCAGAAGCTCCTGGTATATAGTCTGGGACAGAGAAAAGCTGTATGTAGTGAGTGTAGAAGCACATTGTTAGAGAGACCAAAGTCAGCATTACCTTAAAGGATCACTATAGGGTCAGGAACACAAACATGAATTCATGACCCTATAGTGTTAAGACCACCATCTAGGCCCCCTGGGCCCCTCATGCCTCCATAAATACAGCAAAATCTAACTGTATTCAAGCCTGAAGCTGTAACTCTGCATGCTGTTAGACTCAGAAAAACAAGCAGTCTGCTGAAATCATTAGAAGTGGTGGCCTAATCCAATCGCAGTGCTTACCCATAGGATTGGCTGAGACTGACAAAGAGGCAGATCAGGGGCAGAGCCAGCATGATTCAAACACAGCCCTGGACAATCAGCATCTCCTCATAGAGATGAATTGAATCAATGAATCTCTATGAGGAAAGTTCAGTGTCTGCATGCAGAGGGAGGAGACGCTGAATGTTTGGATGCATTTTAGGCAGCCATGACCCAGGAGTGGCCAGTAAAGTTATCCCTAGGCTGTAATGTAAAGACTGCATTTTCTCTGAAAAGACAGTGTTTACAGCAAAAAGCCTGACGGTAATGATTTTATTCACCAGAACAAATTCAATAAGCTGTAGTTGTTCTGGTGACTCTAGTGTCCCTTTAACTATATTCATTGTCAGCCAGTCTACACAAGTTTTGTTCCCATACATCCCTCTTAGGTTTCCATACTTAAGTAAGGGTATGTGAAAAGTAGTTAGGGTTGCCACCTTTCTTGGAAAAACATACCGGCCTTGCTAATTTGCATAATTAAATATCTAATGGGTGACATCACATGATGTAAATCACAAGGAGTGACATAAGAGAAAATGCTGTAAAATCACCAAAAAACTACTTAGTTTGATTCTGCTGTATAGATGGATTCCTCCCAGTGGCCCCATGTCTCCCAGTGCCCCCATGTGTCGATTACTCCAGGTCTCAGTGTTCCTATGTATTAGTGTCTCAGTACCCCATGTCTCCCAGTGTCCCCTAGTGTCGTGTCCCCAGGTCTCCCAATGATCCTATGTATCACAGTGTCTCAATGCCCCATATCTCCCTGTGTCCCCATGTATCCCAGGGCCCCATGTCACTAGGAAGACGGGAAGACCTGGGGACACGGGGAGACCTAGAGACACGGAGACACCAGTGACACTGGGAGACTAGGGGACTCTGGCTGGGACGCATGGGACACTGGTAAAATAGGGGACACTTGAAGACATGGGGACACAGACACCAGGGACACAGACACTAGAGACACTGGCTGGGGGACATGGGGACATTGAGACATGGGGGCACTGGGAGAAATGGGGACAAGGAGACACCAGGGCCACAGACACTAGGGAGACATGGGGACAAAGAGACACCAGGGCCACAGACACTAGCGACACTAGCTTGGAGAAATGGGGACATTGAGACAATTGAGGCACTGGGAGACATGGAGGCACTAGGAGACATGGGGACAGTGAGACACTGGCAGACTGGGGGCACTGGGAGACTAGGGGGCACTGAGACACCAGGGACACTGGCTGGGAGAGATGGGGACACTGGGAGACTGTGTCTGTGTCATAATGTCTCCCAATGTCCCTTAGTGTCTCAGTGTCCCCATGTCTCCTTGCAGCCTTTCCCCCCATCCCTTACTTCCCTGAGCTGTAGGCTGTCTCTGCAGGATGGGAGTTGCTGTCTGGACTCTCTGTAGCTGCACCCCTGCAGATCAGTGAGTATAGATGGTCAGGGAGGGATATGCTGGAACTTCCTATCCCTGCCTGTCTCCACATACAGCGACCCCTACTGGCCAGTGCTGGTATTGCATAGTAATCTCTTGTTTATACTGAGAAAAATACCAGCATTTGTATTGCCAGTATCACTGTAATATTGGCACCAGCCAGGCAGCTTCAAATACTGGCTGTGCCAATAAAATAAAAGCCAGGTGGAATCCCTAAGAGTACTGTGTGAAAAAAAAAAAAAGAAAAAGAAAAATTTATTTTTTATTTTTTATTAATCAATGGGCCTATTCCATGGGCATGGGCCTGGGCCTGGAGCTGCAGCTCCATCAGCCCCTATGTTAATCCGGCCCTGACTAGTGGTCAGTACTTTGTCTGTCGTATTATGGATGAAAACCTTTTTTAATGTCTATACTTATATTGTTCATCGTTTACTTAAAATGTTATCAAATTACTCTAAAGCCCATGGGTTCAGTCAGAGGAATTTCTAAGTGGTAACAATACCAGGGGCTTCATCCCTAGAGTAAATGTTATGGCTTCTCTTACATATATTGACTGAAACCAGCCTAAAACCGGCATTATACCACACCCTATGTCTAACCCTAAGATGATATAAAAATATACCATCTTTAAATCAATTCAAGGTGTTTATATTCTATATACTCTTCTCACCAGCTCAAGTCATTCTCTGCTAACTAATCTTGCATCCCACTGCATTACGCCTGCAATATTGCAGTGCCAAAGGCTACCATCAAAAATGTTTCCCTTTATGGATGGTTTAAGTGGGTAGAGCCCAAAAGGTAGAGAATTGTGATGCGCTCCCCCATCTGTAAACTTCACCAGCTGCCTCTGTCCAAACCACATATAAAAACAGAAGTCTTAGTTGTAATTTTGACACTATAATCACTACCTGCTGGATTCCATCATATTTAGAGTTATTTTAACAGGCATAATCATCATCTGGAGAAGAAACATTCTAGTATTCTCAGTTTTTGCTTCACTATAACAACTTAATTTTGCTATTTTGTTTGTGAATACACAGGGCCACTGTAGTGATATAGCATTTAAGCCTTATTTTAAGGCCATTTCTATAGTGATAGAAATTAGGGTTTTTCAGGGGAAAGTAGGACCTATGCCGGCTGGGGAGACCTAATGTGCATGCTTTAGAACTTCCCCCATAGGAAAGCATTAGCTTTTCTATGGTAGACAGCCACTAGAGGTGGAGTAAACACATAAACGTAATTATTTCAGTTAATTAATTACTGCAATAATTACCATTGCAAGGTTAAGGGTGCTGGGACACTGTACCCAAACCACTTCAATGAGTTGAAGTGGTCTGGGTGCCTATAGTGTCCCTTTAAAGGACAACTGTCATCAAATCATCACTTTTAATTATTTTAAATGTTTTATTACATTTAATGAAACATTCTCCTCTCCTCCTGAAGTCTTCTTTGATTTTATGATTTTTCTTTCAAATGATGTAAATTGATTTTTTTTAATTATTTTTTTTGAGTCATTTTAGGTCAGACTCTACTGTTACCTGGCCAACTGCTGCTCACCGTAACTTGTCTCCTGATGAAATTTTACATAGCACAATCATAGTAACAGACAAATTAGATTAGGCAAGTTAGGCAGAGGTTCATCGGATAAGCGTAAAATTAGACTTAATATGGCTACTCAGCCAGATAAAAAGTGAAATTTTCTCAAAATACAATTGGTATACATCATTTAAAAACTATATCATTAAATTTTAGTAAATATAATAAACTTTTTTTTACATGATGACAGTAATCCTTTAAGCTGCAGTTGTGTTACTTTTTGTAACAGCTCCTCCCACAACACTCGGCATGCAGATGTCAGTAAAGTTTATCCATAACACAAGATGCATATACTGATCTTATGACTGTAAGCAGTGTCATCTTAACAACATTATGGGCCCCTGGGAATACAACAACCACACAACCACTTAAATTATCAATAAAATTAAGCTTTTATTTATTGGTACCTCCAACAAATGCAATAAATTCATACAATACAAACAGACTGCTGAATACACACACACACACACACACACACACACGGACTGCTAAATACACACACACAGACTGCTGAATACACACACAGAAAATGCAGAATACATACAGGCTGCTGTATATGCACATAGGCTGCTGAATACATACACACAGAGGGCTGAGTTCACACATACAGACTGCTGAATACAGACAGACTGCTAAATGCACACACAGACTGCTAAATGCACACACAGACTGCTGAATACATGCAGACTGCGGAATACATACACACAGAC